CACAAATTGAGTGCCAGGCATTGTTTTTCACAAGGACACACAAAGCCCTGCTCTCTCGGTGCTTATGTTCTCAGGCAAGATAGACATTAAACAGATAAGCACATAAATTATCAGCATGATAACTTCTGATTGTGTTAAGGGCCATGAAGGAAATAAAGCAGAGTAGTCTAGTACAGAGTATATATACCTCTCTGTGCCTCCGTGGACTCATCTGTAAAATGGAAATAATATTAGAGGTCCACAATTCCAAAATCTCCAAACTGAAAGCTTTGTCCTCACTCAGTCAATGGCAAACACATGACTTGAATTCATTTGGAGGTAAATCTTGATCTGAACTTGAGGAAGCTAGTTTTCTCTTTCTTTCTTTCTTTCTTTCTTTCTTTCTTTCTTTCTTTCTTTCTTTCTTTCTTCTTTCTTTCTTTCTTTCTTTCTTTCTTTCTTTCTTTCTTTCTTTCTTTCTTTCTTTCTTTTTCTTTNAACAACCCATACTGTCAGCACCCAATCACTAAGCCACAAGGTGGGAGAGGAACAAATGGACGGTTGGGAACATTCTGGTCTGGGGATAGCAAGGGGTAAAACAATCTGGTGGGGGAAAGGGACAGGATCTGAGCAAAGTAGAGAGATCGTGCTAGACTTGGAGGAAAGGCCAGGGTTGTGGGAGTGAGAGACAGATGAGGGCAAAGATCAAGCTAATGGGTCATGAAGAAGGAAAAAAAAGGTCTAAAAATGAGTGCCTGGAGAGGGCAAGATTAAGCGATCTGGGCATCTCACCAACCATTTTCTATACTCTTTTTCTTTCTTTCTTTCTTTCTTTCTTTCTTTCTTTCTTTCTTTCTTTCTTTCTTTCTTTCTTTTTCTTTCCTTCCTTCCTTCCTTCCTTCCTTCCTTCCTTCCTTCCTTCCTTCCCCTCCTCTCCTCTCCCCTCTCCTCCCTTCCCCTTCCTTCCTCCCTCCCTTCCTCCCTCCCTACCTACCTTCCTTCTTTTCCCACTTAGTGTGGAGAACTCTCTGTTTCACTGCACAAATTTTTAAGTGTTTGGTGATGGGATACTGCCCCAGGCCCCAGTAGGAGCATTACATAACGTGTAGATACATATACCTATTACCTTCTAAGATCTGAAAAATTCTTAGTTCCAAAACACATCTAGACCCAGAGGTTTTGGGTAAGGATTGAGGATCTGTAGTACCCCTCACATGTGGTTATTATGAGGATTATGAGTTAATGTATCGAAACATTGAAAATGATGCTCAGAATATAGTAAGTGCTGCCTACATTAACAAATGTTACCGTCACCACTAGTATTACATTGGCAGGGTATTTAGATAAGTTGGCCAGAGAAAACCTGTCTGAGTATGTGTTACTTATGCAGACACCTAAGGGATGAGAATGACCTGGCTGTGGGAAGGAGAGGGGAACGATGGTTTCAGGAAGAGGGAACAGCAGGTGCCAAGATTGGTTCGAATGGGGAACAGAAAATGGGCCAGATGTCTGACGTGTGGTCAAAGTAGGAGAAGGATGGTTCAAGGTCATGGAAGTAGGTCAGGAGCCAGAACATGCATGATATAAGCAATAATAAAGATCAAAGTATAATGGGAAGTCACTGTAGTTGATGTGACTCATGTTTATAATGAATGCTCTCGTGTGGTTTGATGAATGACTTGTACAAGAGACGTGCAACTGGGGGACCATTTTGGAGCCTCTTGCAGTCATCTGGGTAAGACCTAATAGCTAATGAGTAACGGGTAAGGAGGTGGCAGGAGACAAAGAGGAGAGTGGACAAGTGCAAGAAAAAGTTTAGAAATAGGGGAGGATAAAAGATTTTCTGATTAATTCTTCATTCTAGTTTGTACGATGTCCATATGTAGAGGCTAAAAATTTCACAGTCATTGTCTCAGGTATGTCAAGGTCAGGGTTTGCTGGACCCAAACGAGCAATTCCACACATCTCTCCGCAACTCTGCATTGAATGGTGTCACACTGGCAGTTCGAAATTGGCCGTGGTGGGAGTCTTTACACTACAGGAATTTGCAAATGCTGCAAATCAGGACTTAACAAATCAGAGATGTGGGTGGGGAAAGGCCAGCACACCACTGTTATTTTGCCTATGACTAAACCGCCTTCATCTTAGAGCCTCCATTTCCCCCCATCATAGAGATACTTAAACTAGGCATATTCTGGACAGCTCAGCGTGATGATGGCTGACACTTCATATTTTTAACTCCACTAATTCAGGGATCCTCCCACTTTTTCCTGGGATCTCATCTAGGTTCATGGGAGTGGACTCAGAAGAGGGTACCTGGGTCACAATTTGTCCTTTATTCACTTTGGCCCCATTTAGAATACGACTCGCCTCCCAGGTCAACAGTAATATCCTTCACAGCATTACTCATTACCTTCTGATAGTGGGATTCACGGAGCCATCATGTCTTCTGGCAGAGGCATAGCTGGAGATGGGGTCCAGGGTCTGGGATCCCATAAACAGGGATCATAAAAATACCTCCCTCTACATCTCTCCTTTTCCCATCTTGACTCAACCCTTCCTCCCTGAGTGATGAACATTTCTCCTAAATCTTTGAGTACGGTTGATGCTCAAGGGAGATATACCGTGTTTATCTATTGGCTTCCTGTAATCCCTGGCCTATTGCCATATCTTTCCAGGCTCCAGATTGGGAAGTATAGAATTCTGGTGGGTGGAAATGGTAAAACAGAGTAGTCCAGGTGAAAAGACTTGCAAGTCAGGGAGCTACAAATTGGGCTTGGGGTTTAGTGACTAGAGAAGCTGAGAGGGATATTATATCAGGTAAGCCTGGACAAGCAGATATAAAGCAAATTATTGGAAGACTTTGGATGCCATGACACAAAGTTAAGGCTCATTCTGTAAAAATGGAAAAAAAAAAAAAGAGAAATCATTTGAAAGACTTCAGAGTAATGTATTCTGATTAATGTTTGGGAATCTTAATGGTTTGGGTGGATTGGAAGAGCAAGAGCCTGAGGTCAAGGATGAGGTTTTAGCGTGGATCAAGGGTGGAATAATCTCAACTGAAGCTGTGTCAGCTAAAATGGCAAAGCAAGGAGGACATCGAGGAGGTCAATGAAGACCATCAAGTGGACTCAGTGAATGGTTTTAATGAGGAGGAGACAGGGCGGTGAAAGAGAAAAAAAAAAGGCAGTGTTGTACCTCTAACTTCAACTTTGGGCATGTCAAGATGTGTGAAGAAGCTCTTTGAGATCCTTCTGAGCCATCTTACATTAGAGAAAAGGAAAGCTGGAGGGAAATTTGCTTATTTACCTTCTACTAGAGGAATTAAGGGAAGTAGGCATTTGGTTTATTAGATATCAACATATTTGGTTGATTCAGTCAATGGGGAAGACAAATGCACTAATTGTTCTAGAAGCCTGTTATAGAGACACAGGCTAGATTATTCCATAGATAAGCACCTGTTAAAGGAAAACCAGTATTCTGGAGAAAAATACTGATAGAGATCATAAAGCTAGAGGGCAAGTCCGTGGTTAAACCATCCCCTAAGGCAGGACAAGTTCAAGTTAATATGGTGATTAGCAAAGCTCTTTAGTACTTCCCATACTACCTTTTAAGGTCTTTCTCCCCTGGGTACCAGGGTCTCTCCTGCTAAACCTAGATGCTCAAGAATCACCGTTATGGGTAGGTTTCCATATGTCCCAGTTTTCCTAAGAGACTCTTGGTTTTCTGCCAATAGTCTTAGCCTAATTATATTTTTAAAAATTTTTTTAAAGTTCATTTATTTGTATTGAGAGAGAGAGAGAGAGAGCAAGCACATGAGTGGGGGAATGGCAGAGAGAGAGAATCCCAAGCAGGCTCTGCGTTGTCACCACAGAGCCTGACGCAGGGCTCAAACTCACGGTCCATGAGATCATGACCTGAGCCAAAATCAAGACTGGGATGCTTAACTGACTAAGCCACCCAGGTGCCCCTAGTCTTAGCATAATTATTAATAGGCCTGCCTTCCTTTCACTCCTGTAAGTATCCTCTTTTTTTTTTTAATTTAAAAAAGTGTTCTATTATTTATTTTTGAGGGTGAGAGAGAGAGAGAGAAAGAGAGCATGAGTGGGGAAGGGGCAGAGAGAGGGAGAGACACAAAATCCAAAGCAGGCTCCAGGCCCTGACCTGTCAGCACAGAGCCTGACAGGGGGCTTGAACTCATGAACCACGAGATCATAACCTGAGCCAAAGTCAGATGCTTAACCAACCGAGCCACGCCGGTGCCCCCATAAGTATCCTCTTTGATCAATCAGGGGTCACCCAGACAGTGCCCTGACTCTCTGCTCTGTGCTCTCCTTTCCAAATGTATGTAATGTAAACCCTATGTGTAATGGAAATGTCCATCCCCAAGTCATCTTGGATTTCCGAAAACAATCCAAGAGGAAAGCCAGCTTATAGAATGGCAGTGCCAAAACGGCGGTTGAGTGATCGTGGGCAAATCAGCTAATATTACTGAGCTGTATCTTAACCTGTAAAATGAGGATAATGGATCTCTTAATTTTTCTACTTAGAATACTGAGAGGCTCGAATACTGTGATGTGTACTGTGTAATGTGTACCAGAGTAGGCTTAGCAAGCAAACAGTAATTGCACCAAAATCTTAATGTGTTATTCATCCCAATGTGTGTTCATTTGAATATTCCTTCATCCCCAAATCTCAGACTTTGACAGCTGGTAAATAGCTCTTCCACTGCACTGTTTTAAATACTAGTGAATAGGAAAATGCACTTCTACCACCTTCAAAGCTATGTAACTGAAAAGCTCAGATGCTAAAAGCTAAATATGTAACTAAATTATTATGAACCTTAGTAGTAGAGAGACACAGTCATGAGCTGAGGAGATGTCATCTAGGCAATGGAGAATAAGACTTGATTTTAAACTGTAGCCAAAGAGAAGCAGCAAATGGGAATTTTCAGATCTGATGTTTGGTATATTTTAGAATGATTTAGAATGACGGTGATGTGTGCTTTCTTATACTTACAGGTGTTTCCCGTGTGGACACTGAAGAGACCGTCCCTTGTCCTTTTTAACATAATTCTAATTTCCAAACTGCTTGGAGCTAGATGGTTTCCTAAAACTCTACCCTGTGATGTTACTCTGGATGCTCCAAAGGCCCATGTGATCGTGGACTGCACAGACAAGCATTTGACGGAAATTCCAGAAGGTATCCCTGCCAATGCCACCAACCTCACCCTCACCATTAACCACATACCTGACATCTCTCCAGCTTCCTTCCACCAGCTGGACTCTCTGGTAGAGATCGATTTCAGATGCAACTGTATACCCATTCGACTAGGGCCAAAAGACAATATGTGTCCCAGGAGGCTGCAGATTAAACCCAGAAGCTTTAGTAGACTCACATATTTAAAATCCCTTTATCTGGATGGAAACCAGCTTCTAGAAATACCTGAGGGTCTTCCTCCCAGCTTGCAGCTGCTGAGCCTTGAGGCCAACAGTATCTTTCATATCATGAAAAATAACCTAACAGAACTGACCAACATAGAAAATCTCTACTTGGGCCAAAACTGTTATTTTCGCAATCCTTGTAACACTTCATTTTTCATAGAAAAAGACGCTTTCCTGAGTCTGAAAAATCTAAAGTTGCTCTCCCTGAAAGATAACAATATCACATATGTGCCCACTACATTGCCATCCACTTTAACAGAGCTCCATCTTTATAACAACGCCATTACAAAAATCCAGGAAGATGATTTTAATAACCTCAATCAACTGCAAGTTCTCGATCTAGGTGGAAACTGCCCTCGTTGTTACAATGTCCCGTTTCCTTGTACCCCCTGTGAAAATAATTCTCCCCTACAGATCCACGTGAAGGCTTTTGATTCCTTGACAGAGCTACAGGTTTTACGTCTACACAGTAACTCTCTTCAGCATGTGCCCCAAAGATGGTTTAAAAACATTAAAAAACTTAAGGAGCTAGATCTTTCCCAAAACTTCTTGGCCAAAGAAATTGGGGAGGCCAAATTTTTGCTTCTTCTTCACAACCTTGTCCAATTGGATCTGTCTTTCAATTATGAACTTCAGGTCTATCGTGCAGCTCTGAATCTATCGGATGCATTTTCTTCACTGAAAAACCTGAAAGTTTTACGGATCAAAGGATACGTTTTTAAGGAGCTAAGAAGTCATAACCTCTCCCCGTTACGTAGTCTTTCCAATCTTGAAGTTCTTGATCTTGGCACTAACTTCATAAAAATCGCTGACCTCAGCATATTCAAACAATTTAAAACATTGAAAGTCATAGATCTTTCAGTAAATAAAATATCACCTTCAGGAGATTCAAGTGAAGTTGGCTTCTGCTCTAACACCAGAACTTCTGTAGATGGCCATGCGCCTGAGGTCCTTGAAACATTACATTATTTCAGATATGATGAGTATGCGAGGAGTTGCAGGTTCAAAAACAAAGAGACGCCCTCTTTCTTGCCTTTTAATAAAGACTGTTATGTGTACGGGCAGGCCTTGGACCTAAGTAGAAATAATATATTTTTTATCAAGTCCTCTGATTTTCAGCATCTGTCTTTCCTCAAATGCCTAAACTTGTCAGGAAATACCATTGGCCAAACTCTCAATGGCAGTGAATTTCAGCCTTTAGTGGAGCTGAAGTATTTGGACTTCTCTAACAACCGGCTTGATTTACTCTACTCAACAGCGTTTGAAGAGCTACGCAACCTAGAAGTTCTAGATATAAGTAGTAACAGCCATTACTTTCAATCAGAAGGCATTACTCACATGCTAAACTTCACCAAGAACCTAAAAGTTCTGAAGAAACTCATGATGAACAACAATGACATCTCTATGTCCACAAGCAGGACCATGGAGAGTGAGTCTCTTAGAATTCTGGAATTCAGGGGAAATCATTTGGATGTTTTGTGGAGAGATGGTGATAACAGGTACTTAAAATTCTTCAAGAATCTGCTAAACTTAGAGGAGTTAGACATCTCTGAAAATTCCCTGACTTTCTTGCCTTCTGGAGTTTTTGATGGCATGCCTCCAAAATTAAAGACTCTCTCCTTGGTCAAAAATGGGCTCAGGTCCTTCAACTGGGTAGGACTCCGGAATCTAAAGAATCTAGAAACTTTGGACCTCAGCTACAACGAGTTGAAGACTGTCCCTGAGAGATTATACAATTGTTCCAAAAGCCTCAAGAAACTGATTCTCAAGTACAATCAAATCAGGTGTCTGACAAAGCATTTTCTACAAGATGCTTTCCAGTTGCGATATCTGGACCTCAGCTCAAATAAAATCCAGGTTATCCAAAAGACCAGCTTTCCCGAAAATGTCCTCAACAATCTGGAGATGTTACTTTTGCATCATAATCGGTTTCTGTGCACCTGTGATGCTGTGTGGTTTGTCTGGTGGGTTAACCATACTGAGGTGACTATTCCTTACTTGGCCACAGATGTGACTTGTGTGGGGCCAGGAGCACACAGGGGCCAGAGCGTGGTCTCTCTGGATCTGTATACCTGTGAGGTAGATCTGACTAACCTGATCCTGTTTTCCCTTTCCATATCGGTGGCTCTTTCTCTAATGGTGATGACAACGGCAAACCACCTCTATTTCTGGGATGTGTGGTATAGTTACCATTTCTGTAAGGCCAAAATAAAGGGGTATCAGCGTCTGACATCACTGGATTCCTGCTATGATGCCTTCGTTGTGTATGACTCTAAAGACCCAGCAGTGACGGAGTGGGTTTTGGATGAGCTGGTGGCCAACTTAGAAGACCCAAGAGAGAAGCATTTTAATCTGTGTCTTGAGGAAAGGGATTGGTTACCAGGGCAGCCAGTTCTGGAAAACCTTTCCCAGAGTATCCAGCTTAGCAAAAAGACGGTGTTTGTGATGACAAACAAGTATGCAAAGACTGAGAACTTTAAGATAGCATTTTACTTGTCCCATCAGAGGCTCATGGATGAAAAAGTAGACGTGATTATCTTGATATTCCTTGAGAAGCCCCTTCAGAAATCCAAGTTCCTCCAGCTCCGGAAAAGGCTGTGTAAGAGTTCTGTCCTTGAGTGGCCGACAAACCCACAGGCTCACCCATACTTCTGGCAGTGTCTGAAAAATGCCCTGGCCACAGACAATCACGTGACCTATAGTCAGGTGTTCAAAGAGACGGTCTAGCCCTTCTTTGCCCAGAGTGACTGCCTAGCCTACCAAGGAGAAGCTTGGCTGCCTAGATTTTCTCATGAATGTCTCACTAAAAGGGTGTTTTTAAACTCGCCAGGACATGGGATTGTTCACATCAGAGAGGAGAGACACAGTGTATGACAAAGGAATTGGAAACATGGAATTTCTAGAATGCAACAGGTCATCTTTCCGATCTCTCTGTGACTCCATCTGCACCTGAGTCTCCTTTGTCTGTTCCTGTATAAGATACTACTGGGAGAAGGGTGACAAGGAGAAGACATAAGGCTCTCATTCTCCTGTAATTCTCTTGTGATTATTGAGAGAATCACAAAGTTGAGAGAAATCATGCTTCTACCCATCGGAAGTACTGCTATGTACACATATAGGGTAAAAGATGCTCAGGGCCTGCCTATATGACATTACAGTGTCCCAGAGTTAGTGACTTGAAAACACAGGGAACTCAACTGATCGCTTCTGCATCATCTAGCTCCCCCTCCTGTGCAGACCGACTGTCTGCACCCAGTAGACGGTGGCTACTAGATGTCACTTTCTCTTCACCCGCGGGCCTGTTGCTGGGTTATAATAGTGAAAAGCACCTTTACCACTGGTGGACTTTGTCTACTTACAAATGGAAAAATTAAAGTGATCTGCCTGTATACAAAGTCAGACTCTTTACCTTTGATGATAATTTCCCTGCTTAAATATTGGTATGGACTGGATGGTTATTCCCTCCCAAATTCAGATGTTGAAATCCTAACCTCCAGTCTGATGGTTTCGGGAGGCAGGGCCTTCAGGAGGTGATCAGATTATGAGGGTGGGGCCCTCAGGAATGGGATTAGCGCCTTATTAGAAGAAACCAGAAAAGTAGCTGCTTGCCATGGTCCCCACTGTGTCCATGTGAGGAGACAGAGAGAGGTCAACAGTCTGCAACCCGGAAGAGGGCCCTCTCCAGAACCAGACGGCCCGGGCACTCTCGCCCGGGATGTCTGTCCTTCGGAACTCTGAGAAATAAGTGTTGTTTAAGTCATGCAGTTTATGATATTTTGTTGTATAGCAGCCTGAGTGGACTAAAACAAAGATCTTTATGTGCATTGCAAAGGGACTGTATCCAAAGTAAAATTGCTTCATCCAGTGATCTTTCAAACTGCTTTGCTAGCTAATATCGTATATCCGTAATTATCTGCCAACTTGATCCATCAACATTAGATGGCTATTATTATTATTATTGTTATTATTAATATTATTATTATTAACATTGGATGGTTTTGACGATAAACTCTGAAGGAGGACCCCAAGAACATTTATTTATTTATAGTTATCAGGTAGGGATGACAATTCTTTGGATTTCTTTAAATTGCAGGGGGTGAGTTGGGGGAGAAGAAGCCAAGGTTTATAGACCTCGACCCTCAGAAAGCTTCGGTCTTGAACCTCAGCTTTCCCATTCAACGGCAGCAATGGAAAGGACCAAGACATTCTGAAGACACACATACTTTCCATTGGGTATAAAGTCACAGGAGTTCAAAGTTTGAAACCTGATCACTTTGCTTTATTTCATGAGAGCAATGACCTACAGAGGTGTCTGTGCCCTTTGGAAGATAGCGTGCATGGGTTCAAATGTCAGAGCACTCATTGGGAGAGACTGTATTTTCCTCATTCATCAAAATGCCAAAGGTCGTAAGTATAGCTGTGAATACACAGTATATGAATTATTTCTAAAGGACTTGTAATCGATAAGGGTCACAAATTCCCAAATTCATCTCTGGAATGAATAAAGACATGAGCTGCGAGAGCCAACTATTTGTCAATGTCTTTAAGCTTTATTGTACTTAATAGATGCCTTTCTCCTTCTTTAGTGAAAACAAAGATAATGTCATAACAATTGGCTCTTGGCCATCATAAAGTTTCTTCTATTAAAGCACATCAACACATAATGTTGAAGTTATTTTGGTGATTTATAAACCGTAAAGCACTTGAAGACGACCTAAACGTCTTCTGAAATGGATTAAGAGGAAGGGAAACTGAAAATGGTGCATCTCGGAAACCGCAGCGTATTTTGACCTGAGGCTATGTACAGGGTTTGTTGTAGAAAACAGCCGAAAGGACATCAAATGTTGGTAGGGTACGTGAGGGGGATGGTGACTTGAGAACCTGGGTGTGTTGCTCCCCAGGACCCCAGGAAACTAGCGGGCCCAGCAAGGACATGCACTTGTCTTTGTGGTGAGGCTGTCCCCTCCCCCCAAACGTGCTTTTTTATGTACTTCCGCCTTCTCGTGCTAACCAGGGTGAAAGGGAAAATCAGGTTGCACACCCTGCGAGGTATTTTAGTGGTTTATTTTTGATTTTTTAATAATGCTAACATGTTTAAATTTCTTTATTTTGAGAGACAGCACAAGCAGGGGTGGGGCAGAGAGAGACAATCCCAAGCAGGCTCCGAAGAGGTGTGCTTTGGAGAACACCAGGGCGAAAATTAACCGGTTTGACTGGTCCCCGTGCTGGCGACAGTGCAATGGCCACAGGACAGACTCACGCTGTTTTATTTTTTTTCTTTCATTGTTTATTGTCAAGTTGGTTTCCATATAACACCCAGTGTTCATCCCCACAAGCACCCTCCTCCATGACCATCTCCCCCCTTCCTCTCTCCCCCACCCCCATCAGTCCTCAGTTTGTTTTCAGCATTCAAGTGTCTCTCATGGTTTGCCTCCCTCCCTCTCCCCCACTATTTCCCCCCTTCTTCTCCCCCATGATCTTCCGTTAAGTTCCTCCTAATCCTCCTATATGTGCAAACATATGATATTTGTCCTTCTCTGCCTGACTTATTTCACTCAGCATAACACCCTCAAGGTCCATCCACGTTGCTACACTTGGCCAGATTTCATTGTTTCTCATTGCCATGTAGTCTTCCATTGTAGAGATAAACCACATCTTCTTGATCCATTCGTCTGTTGATGGATACATCAACATGTGTTTTGGCTCTTTCCATGGTTTGGCTATTGAGAGCGCTGCTGTGAACACTGGGGTCCATGTGCCCCTATGCATCAGCACTCCTGTGTCCCTCGGGTGAATTCCTAGCAGTGCTATTGCTGGGTCCTAGGGGAGTTCTAGTGTTAATTTTTTGAGGAACCTCCACACTGTTTTCCAGAGGGGCTGCACCAGTTTACATTCCCACCAACAGTGTAGGAGGGGGCCCGTGTCTCCACATCCTCGCCAGCATCTAGAGTCTCCTGATTTGTCCATTTTAGCCACTCTGACCGGCGTGAGGTGGTATCTCAGTGTGGTTTTGATCTGCATTTCCCTGATGAGGAGGGATGCTGAACAGACGCTTCTCCGAAGAGGACATCCAGATGGCCGACAGACACATGAAACGAGGCTCACGCTGTTTTAGGTTTTATGTCTCTCTCGTCTTTCTGCCTTTGCCTCCCCCCTCCCTCTCAGTTTCCTTTCTGGCTTTAGACGCCCACGGCAAGCCTCGTGGAGTGCACAAGAACGAAGAGAAAGAGCAGCTGTTGCAGGTGGGAATCTTCGGTTTGGAAGCAGTGGTTTTGGGTGTGCTGTTGGCTTAAAACCCATCTCTTTCCCACACGCCCCCAGAGTCGATTCCCATCTGGCTCGGTGAGCGTGACCTTCTACAAACGGCTCGGCGAGACCTTCCCTGGGTCACACTGGCTGGACTCTGCTCTTTGCCACATTCAAATACATATTCTTTCTATAAACTGTAAAAGAAAAAAAAAACAAATTCATATTCTTTCTGCTTATCTCAAATTTTAACCAGTTAAGAAGCTGTTAAGAGTTAACAAACTTGGATAAGATCCAAGATTACCTTCATCTTGGGTTGTAACCAATTTTTTTTTTAATGTTTAGTTATTAGAGAGAGAGAGCACGCGTGTGGGACAGAGAGAGAGGGGACAGAGGATCAGAAGCAGGCTTTGCAATGACAGCACAGAGCCCGACATGGGGCCTGAACTCAGGAACTATGAGATCATGACCTGAGCTGAAGTGGGACGTCTAACTGACTGAGCCACCCAGGCGCCCCACGTTGTAATCAATTTCTAACATGTTTGTTATATAGGTCAGTGGTTATATTTCTCTCTCTTGGAGACTTTTAGAAATATTTTTTAATGTTTATTTTTGAGAGAGACAGAGCATGAGCAGGGGTGGGGCAGACAGAGAGACACACACACAGAATCGGAAGCAGGCTCCAGGCTCCAGGCTGTCAGCACAGAGCCCGACGTGGGGCTCCAACCCACGAACCGTGAGATCATGACCTGAGCCAAAGTCAGATGCTCAATCGACTGAGCCCCCACAGGCTCCCCTCCTTCTCGGAGATTTATATTAATTAAATGGTTTGGAAGAGCCTAGACTTAAACTGACTGAGGAGGTTGGAGTTCCAGTCCCTCACAAGGCTCATCATCCAGAAACAGCAGCCTGGCAGGATCTGGAGGGAAAGAGGAAGTCCCGGGGGTCCCGTGGCAATTTTCGGACCTCCCTAGAGCCCACCAGCGGGCAGGCTGAGGCCGGCAGTTGCTTCTACACACAGAAAACGGCTCTTCACGTGGCAAGCCCGAGGGCCAAGGCCAGACAGACACAGCCAGCTAGGACGCCCACTTGTACGAGCCACATGGCTGTTTCACACTCGCTGGCCCACGCCGGGCAGTGGGTCGTAGATTCCAGGGGCTTTCATAAGGGCAAATTGCAGGAGTTGAGCAAAAGTGTCCTAACACCTCCGTGAACGCACGAGTGAGGCTCATTGTCTAGGGGTCCACACTGTGGAGAACAGTACTTGGGCTGTTTTGGAACTTAGAACTAGTCTGCTGTCCTGTGGTCACCCCTGGGACAGTGGGGAACACCCCAGGGCCAGGTGCGAACAGAAACCCACCAAGCAGGACTCTGTCACCAGGTTGGCAGCGCCCATCTCTCGGTCCTAGGTCTGCATTTCCCACGATTTGGTTGCCTTTCGACTGAACCATCGTAACCGAAATACCCAGTTAATTTATAACCTGCCAGGTATTATGTTAACACACTACTCTTCTCCGTTAACACGTCACGATGGATTAATTTGCGAGATAACCAACGCTCCAGAGCTGGCCACCTAAGTGAACAGAACACTGGAAACCTGTTCTGAACGGAGAGCATGAAAGTGAAATCATTCCAAGTTTGGCTCCTGTTCACGAGGGCAGGTCCCCAAAGGGAATGATGGGCCAAAGGAGAGAGTGAGGAGGATCTTGGGAAGAACGCTGTGAGATGAAGTTACTGGTACCCGGACAGTGTTACGGAATGGAGGCTGGAGGAGGAAGAGAAGGAAGAGGGAAGGCAGTCACACTTCTCAAGTCGCGAATGCAAACGAATGCTTCATTCATTCCATTAAATCTTCACATCGCCTCTATGAGGCCGGGAATAGGAGCTCCATCCTAAAGATGATGGCCTAACTCAGAGATATAGGTGGCATCAGAGGAGTTAAGCCAACTACACAAGATCACAGAGGAAGGAAATGGTTCCACCCCAAACTGACCCAGCTCTGTCCAACCAGTTCAATTGGTTCTCCAATATTACCGGGGACCAGAATCAGTCTAAGGAGCTTGGAAACCACAGCAGAGAGCCTG